AAGTACGCATTCTGTAGACACTGTTCTGGTTTGCACCCGTTATGACGGGCCACTCGTTCGTACTGTTGGACCCAGTCGTCGATGTCTTCGTGGTTTTCGCCGTGGAAGGGAGCCGGTGTCCGAGGAGCGACGGGTAGGTAGACGACGGCAGGAGCGGCGGGGTTCTGCGACTGGTTGGCCATCGTCGTCTTCTTCGGCTTAAGCTTGTCCAGCAGCAAACCGTACTCAGGATCCTTTCCCTTGGTGCGGCGGCTGGTTCAAGTTTCAGGTTCTGCGGTGAGTGGTCTCACCGAGCCGGGAATCGGACTTGCACTGCGGGCCCTTGGAGGGGAACGCTGCACGGGCATGCGGTACCCCGCACCTCCACCAAAATGTCACGGGTGGTGACTAAAAACCAATAAATAAACAGGAAGAAATAAACGTTTAATGGTGGCGAAATTGTGCCAAAAATAAAAGGGTACAAAAGATAATAACAGAGCGTCGCGGGCGTCGAAGTCGGCGTAACAGCAGAGTCGAACGCTCGGGCGAGACTGACTGCAGATCAGGGGTGCTATTCTGGTCACAAACGGTCACGTTCGTGTTTCTCGAAAACTCCTCCCCCCTACGAACCGCGCGCTCCTATTGGCCACAGCCCGCGTGATAATTCCACGCGGTTCCCATGGCAACGTTCGCGAAACACGAAAGCAACCGTTTGTATTCACACGAGGGAGAAATCCCGGGGATTTCTCCCCGGCACGCGCATCCCACGACAAAAGCGTCAGGCTTTGAGATGTGCAAAAGCCTCGCGTTTTCATCTCGTGATGCGCGCGTGCCGGGGAGAAATCCCCGGGATTTCTCCCTCGTGTGAATACCCCTATGTCGCTCTTCGAGTTCGGACCGTGACGACAAAGTGACGTATGACCACGTCCGACCTACGTAGCACATAGCGGAACTCGCGTCACTAGATTAACTGCGGTATTACTCAACACACCCTACTCTCTGTTTCACTATGAGTGCGAGCTAGTGCGGGTGTAAGAGCTACAAGAACGTGCTCCGGGCTTTCAACGTCCCTGTCGAGCAGGCGCGCTTGCGCAGTGCAAGCCAATGTTCGTGCAAGATCGTTCGGGATGATGCGCTCGTGCTTTTAATCTCTCTTTCTATTGCACGAAGCGGAACAAGCTTTGGGTAGGATTCTAAAGCGTAGAAAATGGCGACGATGCTTGTTGCTCAACGATGGCTACGCGTACAATGACGGGTTTTCCGCGAGCACCCGGTTGCCTTCGCGATGCACGACGACTGTTTTTGACGACAATACCGCTTGTCGAAAAGCACCGTGTGATCGCAGTGTGGCAACGAGAGACGGCGACGATGAGAGATGATGACCGTCAAGCAGCAGCTACTAATTGAATCGCACTGAGATTTTTCGCAACGGGGAACTACAAGGGCGCGGTTGCCCCCGATGATCACATAGCTAATGCCCAGTGGATGGTGATCAGAGCCTTGACGGCCGTTGTGAGTGTCGCTGTCAACCGGCTGGGAACAGACGGTTGGGTCGACAAAACCCCGGACCGAGGCAGCTGAGGCATGTGCGAAAGAAGGCTTTTGTCGCCACCATGACAAGCACACCGACGTCGTCGGGTGCGTTGACTAAACTTAGACTCTAACTAAACCTTTGTCACCGTCATCATCGGTCTGAAGGAGACCGTCACCATTCTGAAGGACTCCAACACTTTGCCGCAATGACCATTTTGCCATTAACAACATGGTGGTAGGTTGACGTTTAAACTTCAGGGTTTCTACCGCTTCGAAGTTAGTGCACGCTTAGTACCTATGCCTTTAGTTGACAGTTTGTTGCGGTCTGTAGCTACTGTCAATTACGCAATAAAATCTGGATGGGCTGCTGATGGCATTTCGTTGTATCAATTAGATGTCTTACCTTTGCACGCCAAGCTGCTGGAATTGCAAGTCAGTCATCGGAAAGTTATAAGAACACTTTTCAATGTCCTGCAATAAACTACGAACAGGTCTGTCCTAAAATTAATCGTTATTTGTCTATACAGCAGCAGTTTAGTCTGACAGAGTATGGTAACATTGTTACCCACTGTAGACGAGAAATTTAGTCAGTGTCTTGTGGATGGTTGTCATCTTCGTGACCAAGAAAAACAATAAAAATAGAATTGTCCTACAGTCAACATACGTGTTATGATAGCAATTCAATAGATTGTCGTTTCAAAAGTGACAGTAACTCATTGAAATTAAAGAGTAGTGTGAGCTGGATTTTTGAAATTTGATTGTGATGCAGAGCAAATACGCACTGTTGGCCTATCACCATCAAGCATAAACGACAAGCGGAGGCAGAGTAGATGTGTGAAGGAAAAGCGAGCATATGTACAAAAAAGAAAGAACTGCTACGTAACGTGAAGAATGTCAGCAACTCTCTTGCCATTGTGGTACGAGCTCAGGGGCTATGCACATGCTTATAGCAGCCTGTGAATGTAGGATGCTCCCCTTATGTGGCAAAGCCGGGGATGGGGGGGGGGGGGGGGGGCGAGGGGGGGGGGGGTTTATAGGGCTTCGCTCCTTCCCTCCCCAAATCGGCGGGCCCTAGAATATACACACAAATTCCGAAACCATCCCCCTCGCACCCCGAGTCATGAACATTCCAGCCACCTTAACCCCCCTCCATCCTCACCCCGTTAGAAGTTCCTGGCTACGCCACTACTATCAACAGCACTCAATAGATAGTCAACATTATCAAGATAAACGAAATTTCTTTTATTTTATGCACCATATAGGCAGTGTTTTTGTCTTTATATGCATGCAGCCAAAGCACACACTGTAGAAAACACTTGTGTGAAGCCTGCGTTCACAATGCGGTCCCCGTCAAACTTTCAAGGCGTTAACGAATTCCACAAATTAAATTTTCAACGAAACGAATTCGTTTTGCAAAACGCTGGCAAACTTACGTTGCGTTTTACATCATTCACCTTTGTCGTCCGATGAATCAGTAGTCAGCACTACACAAACCTCAATGAGCTTGTCGTTTGTTTTCTTGCCGTTGGGGCGATCGCTGGCGGTCGTGGCGGCGGCACAATTCCTTCTCAGACCGTTGGCTGCTGCCTCCGTGCTCGCGGAAACGTCGTTCCCTTTGTGCCAAGGTGAGGCTTTGAATTTTAATGCACGGCAACGCTGAATAAAGGTCTATTACCGTCTTCATAATCTCAGCAACGGTACCGTACGAGCCACAACAACACCACCACTTTCAAGCTTCATAACACCGGCACAAATAGAAGCCAAGTCTTGCATCTCTTCAAGCGTTACATCGGAGACGTTAAACGCCAGCTCACTGTGCTCTTCGACCCAGTCCTGTCGCCGAATGGGCTCATCCAACAGCACGAAAGTATTCGTGTGCGCGTTGATCAAGTGACCGATCGCATGTCAAACCCCAGCCGCGGTCGATCCGACGAGCATCGCGGCCATGTTCTTTCGAGTTTAACTCGCCAAGGGTACGGTTGTCGAGTTAAAACAATGCAAATAGTCCCGTGCATTCTTGTTCTTACGTCATTTTGTCGTCACAACCCGAACTCGAAAGATGAATGTTAGCGGCAAACAGAGGCTTTCTAGTTTCACGAACGTTTCCATGGCAAATGACGTTGAATCGTCACGCGCAATGAAGCCAATGGGAAAGCGAGGTACCTAGGGTGCCTTCTAGAGGTACCTATGTAGGGACGTGTAAAAACGCAAAAGCCGTTTTTTTTTTGCACGAGCTCTTCTGCAAATAAAAATAAGTAAAAAAGACTGCCCGAGATTATGACGTCGCGTGCATTTCTTCAGCGCCGAAAGAGAAGAGCATGGCTTATGGAGACTATACCGGCATAATCACTGCAGTGAGCAAAGGAGCAAAGCATTATTAAAACTGCCCGAAGAAACTTTCCTGCATCATCCAGAGAATGCTCACAACCGTTGCACTCTGCGTCGATCTCATGGCTTGTCATATACTACCACAGAGTCGTCGTCAGCTCTGTATTCATTTGGAGTCTCCTTCACAGGCGAACAGGAAATTTCATTTGCAGCTTATGTTCACGACGGCTTCACAAAGGATGGTCGGTGTCGCAGCGTATCTTCACATAATATTTTCTTATCGTAATGCCATCCGTATCGTGCAGAAACAGGGAAAGCAACCACGCAAGCGAGACACAAACACCACAAGGTCGTTACCGCGGTTTTCGCCATGTTTGTTTTCAAAGACCATAGCGAAAGACTTCGAGAAAAAAAAGCTGAGATATCTTAGCTAAATTTACTTTACGTCATAATTATTGAAATAATCATTCGTATTTTATAAAAGGATAATATTATTTTTCTCTGTTTCCTTCCATTTTCCGGAAGGTAGCCTTTTCTCCGTTATTCGCTCATTCTAAGTCCTGGAGGAAAGGAAGAAGATATCAAAAAGAACAGGGGGAAATGCAGGGATTTCTTCGCCCCAACTGGGTGGACACGTCACCGTGACGTAGGGCATCGTCAGATTCTAGCTGACCGCGTGCGTGAACCCGAACGTTGGGGCGGAGCCTCAAACAAGAATCATTCTAGTTTGAGGCTCCGCCCCTTCTTTCTCGATACGTCACAACTCGAAAGGTACCCGTTTGCGACCAGAATAGCACCCCTGCACGCTGAGTCCCTTATGTACGCGCGTTGAGTTCTGGAACAATCGGCCTAGATTGTTCGGCGACTGGAACATTCGGAACTCGATCATATGAGAATGTTCTCGAACACACTAGAACGCAATGTTGGAAGAACAAATAAAAGAGCATTCCACTGACTGGAATCGAACTCAGACTTTCCGCGCGACAGTCAAGTACGGTAGCTACTCGGCCACGCACGCGGTCGCTTCCCGACGAGCGTGGCAAAATCGAGAAGCTGGCTGAAGATGCCTAAGTACAAACCCTTTGTGCGGAATGGGGTGCGATAAAGCGCTGCGTACATGTCTGCAAGGTCAACACCGCCCATGTGAATGTTGTACTGTTTCACAATTTGTGGGCAAGAAACGAATCTTTTGACGCTCCTTCTTGTCGAACCTGTTCGCTCTTTCCACTGGGTCTTTTGAGACACAAGAGCTTGTTGTCAGCCCATCTCACGACTGCAAGTCCTGCCACATTGTCCACCTTGTAGTCAAAGCTGCCTCTTCCCTCCATCAGCAATGACTTGTCATCCTTTAGGGAGCAGCCTCGAAGCCTGTTGCTTCGAATGGCGCCGAGGCTGTGCAAAGAATACCTTTCTTTCAGTCGTGAGATCGGTGCCAGCGAGGTGAAGAAATTATCAAAGTAGACGATGCTCTCATTTGGACGAGAAATGCTCTCGCACAAGTGCAACACAACCTTTGCGCCAAGACCAAGCGCCTCATCCTCTTCTGCAAGTCTGATACCTTCGAATGTCGTTGCGCCGGTGTACAGAATGAAATCATGAACCATCCCAGAAACACCCGCACGTACAAACAGTTTGAAGCCCCACTTTTTAGGTTTTTTGGGGAGGTACTGCCTCAGGTTCCCCGCCTGTTTACCCTTGTACGGGATCATCATCTCATCAATGGAGAAGAGATTTTCGCTCTCTGTGGCCTTGCATTTGCTCCGAATGCGCTCAAGCACAGGTTTTATCTTGTAGGCTCTGTCAGTATCAACTGGCTGGAGGTTATCAATAAATTGGATGAACCTTCGGTGCTTCTTGAACCGTTTTACAGGCATCACATTGGCGATCTTGTCACATCTTGTTTGATTGACCCAGTACTCTTCAAACGAAGGCATCCCGATGACGCCCATCATAAGAAGAATTCCGATGAAGGACCTTAACTCTGCAACGTTCGTGTTGATTGAGCTTCCGGTCTGTTGAGTGGAATACAGATTTGTCTTGTAAACCACCTTCTGAATGAACTCATCACCAAAATACATCTGAAAATAGTGCAGTGGAGTGAGATCTTCCGGTGCAAGCTCAAACAGCGGTTCTGGAGCTCGGAAGTCGTGGTCGAAACTTGTCTTTCTCCATTTGGGCTTGTCACCTTGTTTCGACGAGGCGGCGTTCTTTGGCAATTTAGCGTCGTCTTCCGAGAGGGTTCCTCTACTTCCAAGTTTCTACCCCTTGCCTTGAAGCTGGTGTTATCATTGTTCGTGTCCGTTTCATCATCGCTTGATGAGTCGACGTCGGATATTCCACCTTCAAAAGGGATCACTGTGGCCCTCTTTCTCAATCGTGAGCCATAAAATGTCCTTGTAGTTAGCTCTTGCACAAAACAAAAATAAAAAAAAAAACATTGGAAGCCGTATACAAAACAGTGGAACGAATACCCCAAACCTGCAGTGTATCCTGTGAGGTACACACGGATTATCACCCTGCTTTGCATAATTGGATCGGGGTATTCGATTAAAAATACATCACCAAAGCCTTTGCACACTTTCCTTTAAAATCGCAACGTTAGATTTTGATTACCGTTTCAAAGTTTAGAGTACAAAGTAGTACCTGCCGTGGACACGTGGACACCAGCACTGGTTGACGCCATGTTCTCTCACTCATGAAGAAACACTTGCTGTAGGCTCCACGAGCTGGCGCTAGGTGTCTCGGCCGCCGCGTAGGAAGTGTCCCATGAGATACATTGCCCATTTGAGCGAGTATATATTTACAGTGATTTTTATTTGTGCGTTTTAAGCCTGTATTTCCGGAGATACAATAAACGAAAGAGGGTTAAACATTTGTGGAGGGCGGAAAAGCGTTTTCGTTGATTTCAGATAAATCTTCAGATAACTGGAAAACATGATTTTAAGCCAGAATATGGACAAGTGTCGTTCCTCTGAAGCGCAGCTTTCTTAGTGGCACTAGGGAAGATCATGGCTGAAAACAGCGCAGCACTAAGGTAGATTTCAAACGCCATGTTCTTCCTAGTGGCTTTAAATGAGCTACACTTCAAAGTAACGACACGTGTCCATGTTGTAGCTTTAAATCATGGTTGCCAGTTGTCTGAAATCACAAAAAACACTTTTCCAATATTATATGAGCTTCCTAACACCGAATCTAAGGCTGAGGAAGTCGCACTTTTGAATCATGACGATCGACACCTACGTCTGCTCTGCACAAGCAGTAAAATGGTGGCGCCCACAACAATGTTACGGAACAGAGTGCCGATACTCTAATACCCCTGTTACACGGGCACCATTAACCGTGGTTAACTCAGCTTTAACTGCTGTTACGTGGCACCACAGTTACGGCACTATACTCTCGGACAGCTACTTAAGAAGAAGTGAAGAGCGCGCGTGCACTGCTTCGATAGGTGTTCAAGATGCTCAAGCGCACGTTCGCCCATGGCTTTGACTGCATAGCCGCAGAATGTTGTCCGCAAGTATTGTGCGCTAACTGTGGCTTAGCTTAACTGCAGTTAAGTGCGCCCGTGTAACAAGGGTATAAGCGCAGCCCATTTATACCCTTGTTACACGGGCACACTTAACTGCAGTTACGCTAAACCACAATTAGCGCACAATACTTGCCGACAACATTCTGCGGCGATGCAGTCAGAGCTATGGACGAACGTGCGCTTGAGCATCTTGAGCACCCATCAAAGCAGTGCACACGCTCTCTTCACTTCTTTTGAAATAGCTGTCCGAGGGTATAGTGCGGCATCTGTGCTGCCACGTAACCGCAGTTGAAGCTGAGTTAACCACGGTTAAGTGTGCCCGTGTAACAGGGGTATAAGTGCGCTCAGGGGTATTAGTGGTTCTAGTTCTTCCCAGAAGTGCAGCACGGCACGTGTCTCGAGCATTTGCACAACAATTAATGTCGCCACTTTCCCCAGAATGGGCTTTACTCGACACCTCCTGGGAGTGGGTTTGCAAATCAGTATTCAGATGAAAAAAAAAAGTGTTGATATAGGACATAGAAGTGCAAATTCCTACTGAAAAAAACCACTTGGCGGCTATATGAAAACAAACGGGTTCATACCGGTAACAGTTTAACCATACTGGTCACCAGTTTGTCAAAGGGGTCGCCCGTATGGCTCAAAGGGGTCCCCCGTATGAGCCATAACGGTCACCTATTTGGACAAACAGGTCACACCTTTGGCAAACGGGTCGCTCGTCTGGGCAAATGGGTCGCTCGTCTGGGCAAGTGGGCGACTCGTTTGGGCAAAGTTGTCGCACGTTTGCTCAAACCGGTGACCATGTTGCAAACTGTACCGGTTTAATCAAACGGCTCATCGGAGCCCGTTTGATATTGAACGTACAGATCGGCGGCGTGGGCACGCCTAGCGTTTCAGCCGTGGCAGCCAATATTTCCGGAAGGCTGAGAGCGCCGGTTCATCGATTTCAGATCGTCCGCGTCATGCAAGTAATTATATTTATATTTCAACTGCGCTGATGTTCGCTTATACTGCAACTAAAACCAACACCTTTTTTTTTTTGTTTCACGTAAACGCGCGACGTTGGTGAGCCGATATGTTTGACAGAACTTTCAAACTTTGTCGATCTCTGTTGCCTCAATTTACTTATTCAGCTCGAATCTCTCTCGCAGAAGACGCGACCGCGTGAAAGAATGTACGTCTAGACTCCGTTTCACTTTAATTCAGAACGCAGCGAAGGTAGCCCGCGTACACGAGGCTGCAAGAACATCGAGCATTGCGAGAGCACGCCCGCCATTGCAGCAGTCAAACTACGAGCTCGCGGTGAGTACTTTCTTCGCTCGGGCGCAAGCCGAGCTTCTGGCCGCCCCGCCGCCATTTCCAAGGTTCAAGCATGCTAAAATGCGCGCGCGCGGGCGCGGGTTTGATTTTTAAGGCTACAAAAACACATCTCAGGGGAATGCCTGGGGAGAGGGAGAGGGGCTGTCCCGGTGGTCCCGGCGCCTTGACCTCCCTCCCTCCTTCCTCTCTTGTCACCCCTGTCACGTGACCCGCAGCAACGCGCGAGCTACACGCTGATAAGCATCGAGATCCGGAAGGGTGCGCCTGGCAGCCGCTTTTTTCTTTCTCTGTTTGTTGTCAGTTCCAGCTCGAACTTCGCTCGTCCTCCTTCTTCCATCAGTCGTCTAACCCTGCGGTCTTATTAGGATGTCTCTCGACAACGTATTAGATGTGCACCAAAGTTATCAGTGTTCGAAAAGTCCTACGCCTATATCGGCAACAAGCGATTCTTCAAAGAAGACAGGAAGTTTTGCGGTTTCGTTGGGTTCGGGAAATGACAGCTTGTGCGCCACATCGTGTTGAAACTTCCAAGGAGCCGTAACAGCCGTTCCCTCTCGTTTGTGTTTGTGTGCTTGTCCTGCTTTGACCGTGTCGACAAATATCACGGATTACATCTTTCAAGTCCGCTATTTTTATGGTAAGTGCACTGCAACCTACTTCTTGGCAACGATTGACCGTTCTTCTACTCGTACTCTTCCAGATTACCTATATAAGTATGCAGCCACTATTCCCGCGGCAGCCGGGCGAATAATTTCCCGAAAGTCTACCTTCATAGTCTAGAATTACCTCGGTTCTTGTTTGCTTTGCTATCTTCTCAGTTGTATAAAAGCTTAGAGTGCCTCTGAGATTTCACAGATCGCTTGCACGTTTGTACTTGTCTACAGAAGACGTAATAAACTTTGAGGAGAATAGAAAACAATCTTTTCTGTCTGTTTTCCTGTCCATTTGCAAGCACCTACGTGAGCACATTCGTTCTACGTGTTTCCTCCATGTTATAAATAGGTTTATGAGTTTCGGAACGTCTTAAATAAGTTTAACATAGCCAACGTACCAGATGATCCCCATTTAGGGCTAGCGCATAATTTCCCGATTCGAATGGCACGTTCAAACGTGTGGTCACGTGCAAGGTCGAACGGGCACCCGTATCAAAGGGGCACTCGTATCAAACGGCTACCGTTTCGAGCGGGTACCGTTTCAAACGGCTACCCGTATCCCATAATCACGTTTGATCCAAACGGGTCGACAAGTTTGCACCCGTTTGATTTAAACGGGTCGACCAATTTGCCACCCGTTTGAATTTCAAATGTTTTTTTTTTTTTCAGTAGGGAACTGCCGTTTTGTTTCCATTTCTTTTTTCTAGCTTTGAATTGAGCTTTAAAAGAGGCAATTAAGTTCGCAAAATAACGTTCGCGTGCAAAATATGGTAGTCCAAACGGCCGCATCGCCACACCATGTGCTTTTAAAAATTTCGAACGTGGTTAGAATTTTGAGTCCATTCGGAAATCAAAGCTAATTCTACGTTATGTAAGCCACTGTAATCTACGTATGCATTGGCTCGTATATCGCGCCGTCCGTTGGCCGCTTCTGGCAGCGGCGGACGCAGAGCGAAGATCTAGCTCGATATTGGAGGCGAACAGCCCGTGGCCCGAGCCCACCTCGAGCCCTCGAACTGCATGCGCAGCTGCGAGCATGCAACTCGTTTGTTCCGGAAAAATTCTGCGCCATCTACGAGGAAAAGGGTACAAATAAATAGCGGTTGAATCCCCCTTACTGCTCATTCACACTGGAAGCGGATCCGCGTTCGCAAAGCGGTTGCAATAGGGTGCCTCAATGTTCTTCTGTCTAGGGTGATGCCACCCTTTGTAGTACCCGATGTCGACAGCACGCGCTCACGGGGAAAATACAAAGAAGTCGACGAAAACAAAATGTCGTCATAGCACAGTCAGCGCCACAAACGCGTGCAGGGACACGCTCTTTCACGCGCTTCTGAACAAAAAATAAACGTGTGGGACAAAATGGCGAGATGCCCCCACCCTAAGCAAAGCGCACATCAAGGCACCCTAGGTTGCAAACGCGGTTGTATAAAGATCCAGTACAATTGCACGCGCACTCTATGATATCAAGTGCGCGGGCAATTGTACAAAATCTTTATACAACCGCGTTCGCAACAGCTTTGCGAACGCGGATCCGCTTCCAGTGTGAATGAGTGGTAAGGGTGAACGGAGTATA